TCGGGTTGTTCTGCAGGAAGCTAAATTACCAAGGTACTTTGGGCGCTGACTGGCGCTCGAGCAAAACTGGTGTTTATCTGCATTTGTGTCCGGTATCTTGTCAGTGGGGTAAATCCGCTACCACATTCGCCTTGAAAGCGGGTCTAAAGTATCTGCTGTACAGGACTGAATGTGGAGCATCACATTTCGCCCAAGAAAACCCACGAATGACGGGGTTCCTTGCACCATGTTAGATAGTGAATAGACCAACTAGCGTCGCCCCTTATTGGACCATTTTTGGCAACAATTTTGTGAGAGTACATCAAGAGTATGCATCTAGGAAAGCGTGTTCGACCGATAAATGGATACGTATGTGCGTCGGCCCCCAGTAGCTGTTTCGAATTTTGATCAACGGCACATAACGGAATGAGTCAGTCCAATATCATTCGCGGTAAACTATGATTCTACTATCGAATCGATAGTTATCATCATCATCGAAAGCCGGATATCATTGTCCAACTGCAATGCTCCCCTGCCGAGCAACCACGATTTAAGTACTTGTTGTGAGTAAAAAATAAAGGTCGATGATGAAATGACGCAGCGCTGGCTTACTGAAATCATTCCAAGGTGCCTACAACTCGAGACATTCATACGGGAACTCTGGATAGTAACTCACTGCAGGAGCGTCGTTGACATCGGTTGACAGTCATGTCTTGAGTACTGTCACACCAGGCGTACTGAGGAGCCCCATCCTGAAAGGCAAATCAATATTTCCACTACCACCCGACAGGCCCGAGCCATGCTAGTGTCAAAAAGTGATGTTGGCAGACAGTTATGGGAAACAAACTCACCCAGATTTCTTTTTAGTTTGAGGGTTTGTCAGCATCTGAAATGTTGTTCCACTGAGGAATGTTTCGGCGTGCGGGAACGGTCAATCGATATTCCTATTCAATTTCTCTTGCTGTCGTGAAACTCAGACAGAGCTCTTACTCGATGGCATTTCAGCCACTAGTTGGACGGTTAACCGCTTTGGCCTCGCCTAAACAGCGGTGCAACTGATTGGCTCTCATCCTGGCAGTGTGCAGAGTTTTGAACCGTGTTGTAAAAAGTCATAATGATGAGGTAAACATTCGTTTCAACTGGTTTCCTTACTCAACGGGATTCGGTCTTCCAGGATGTCGGTTATTCTCAGTGTACACCACAATGAGTTTATGAAGTCTACTCTGATGCATCTCCGAGTTTGTTGAGTTGAGCTTTACGCTTGCGCTTACGCCTCCATCCATGCGTTATCTTATAACTCTGTGAGTGGTGTGGGTGGCCGGTCTTCGCCCGGCACAAAGGGAATTTGGCACAGCATTTAAACATAGCAGTGCCCATCGTTATGCGAAGTGGGACGATTGTCGATCGGGCAAAAATATGACGACGACACTTTTTCCTTAGCCATGTGTCAACAGATGTTTTACAGGTGATTGTTTGCGCTTGGGTAACTCGAAGCTTTCCACAGACACATTTCGACAAATACCTCTAGATAATTTATGGAGAACTAAGAAGATTCCACCGTGAGATTGCTTTAGGAGTTATGACACCTTAACTTCCATATATATTGCGTAGCCTTATTCCGATTTAGAGATACTGTCCACTGTATCACTGTTTTAACAGCAAAAAGATGGCATTTTGTATATTAAGAGGAACGAGAGCCCTAATACACGGTAGATTTATAGGGATGATTTTGTTTGAAATTCCACGAAATACGCTTATGTTCGAGATGCAGGTATTCTGGATTGCCAATGGCATAGAGGGCAGCTCTTATCATGAATGACCGGCCGTTTACGGCACTAGACAGTAATCTGCCCACCAGCGTGCTGGATCCGTTGCTTTTGGCTTCTGAGCGTCTGTGGACTCGTTCAGGTGCTTTTGAATATCAATATCATATCCAAACTGTGAATGCAAGCCGCCAACATTTCAGCGCCCCTCTACTCTCCCAGCTGCACCAGGAAGCTAGCGATCATTTCTTCAAGCCCGACCCACATATATCCTCTTCCATTGTAGAAAGATACGGTCATTTTCAAGTAGGGGTCACACGTTTGGCCTATCCCACTAAGTCAAACTGGATGATACCCAGGGCAGAACATGGGGATGTTTCGAGTATGGGACACCAAATTGAATCATCGACATGTTCGTGGTAATCTAGGTTTTAATAATATGAAATATGTTCATTTGGATAGTATGTCGGCGTGTGGGCTGCGCGGCTTACTCTGTACACGTCATATATTGGAGCTGAGAATCAAAGCTCACGTACACTCTGCCCATGCTCATGGTATCGTCTAGCTACGGACATCTATGCCGTATTGCAAAAGGTATGGGCCACGCAGAACCTGTCATGATCAATTAACGAAAGGTGACGTACGAGTCTCACGTAAAATCACAATTAGTTAAGAAAGAAAATGGGAGCATCGATCAAATCAGCGTAGCTTGCAACTTTTCTTCCAGCCCAATAACATCCCCAATCTTAGACGATTAATTTCACTTCGGTGGGTGCTTCTTCAAAAGATTTCATCTGCCTAACTCTGATATCAAACGTAGTGCCCATCGTGAGATTACCTTTTGGAAACTACAGCCCTA